ATTTATCAATGGTAGCTTATGCCACTTTTATTCGGGTACCTTATGATATGACAATATTAACGGCAAAAATCTACAGAACATATCCAATATTTTCATGTTTAGCAGGATTGAGATTTTTCCGTTAACATTGTAATTTCATAAGGTACCCGAATGACAGTGCCAGCATCAGCTTACCATTGATAAATTGAGTTAAGAAAACTTGGTCTGCCATTGCGCACTTTGCCAGAAGTCCTTGGGAGACCCCTCCAAATATACCCTTCCGACACCCCTAACCTATCTCATCTAAGGACTTCCGACTGAGTGCGCAGTGGCAGACCAAGTTTTTTTAACATAATTTGTCAATGGTAAGCTGATGCAAGCACTTTTATTCGAGTTCCTTATGATATGACAATTTTAACTGATAAAATCTGCAGAAGTTATCGAATATTTTCATATTTAGGAGGATTGTGCACAGAACAGAGACCTTCTATCCAATTGACCTATACAAATCGAATCTCCTAATCATTACGAGCATTTCATACCAAGGCACCATCAAAACCAACCAGTGGAGGAAAAGATATAGGCCAGTTTTCATACACTTTACCTACAATTTCACACTTTTTGACAGGATTATGTACAATACAGAGACCCTCCTCCTCACTGACCTATATGACTCAAAGCTCCTAGTTATGGAGAGCATTTCATATTAAGGCGCCATCAAAATCAAACCCGGGGGGAATAAGATATAGGCCAGTTTTCATAGACCAAACCTCCATTTCAAACTTTTTGACAGGATTGCATTCAATACTGAAACCCTCCACCCAACTGTCCTATATGACTCGAAGCTCCTTATTATGGAGAGCATTTCGTATTAAGGCACCATCAAAATCAAACACGGGGGGAAAAAGATATAGGTCATTTTTCATACACTGGACCTACAACTTCAAATGTCTGAAACACTAGGATGCGGCAAGTTTAGGCCTGGCAGACCTTGTGATCTATTGTCAGAGTGATCTTGGCTATTATGTTGTGGTGGTCGCGTCGTGGTACCCGATGAGATAGTTTAGGGGTGTCGGAAGGGCATCTTTGGAGAGGTCTGGCAAGCACTTCCGGCAGGGTGCGCAGTGGCAGACCAAGCTTTTTTTACATAATTTTTCAATGGTTAACTGATGCCAGCACTTTCATTGTGGTACCTTATGACATATTTTTTACGAAAAAATGACTCTGAAAAATATCGATTATTTTTATGTTTCGGCAGGATTGGCTCTGGCAGACCTGGGTCATACGACTTGTTTAAGTCTTGGTTAACGATCCAAACCTAGCCTATCGTGGTACCTTATGAGATAGCCACTTACCCCCTGGGCTCTCGAACTATTTATCTGATTATTGATTTCCATTCCACATAATGACAGATGAGACATTGACTTGACTAAAAGGACTAGACTCTTTATAAAAATACCATTGGCCACTAAAAACTACAAGGAGGTTTCTATAATTGACAAACCTTATCAACTAGCGCTTCGCGCCGTCAAAGTCATGACAAGTCAAAAATATTTACCGATGTTATTTAATTTGGTATTAGATATTTACTGACAGTAGTGTAAATCATGATATTGTTTGGTAGTTTAATTCAGTATTAAATCTGATGGCAGCCACATGCCATATTTTGTCTTCGCTTTCGAATGCTATCTGAACGCGCGCGGACTATAGTTATGTAAAGCATGATATCGATGCTTCCTAGAATTAGTATCAGTAAGTTAGGTTGTCCATTTAACCCTGAACGTAAAAATAGTACCTAAACCATGCAAGAACTAGGACTAAAGTAGGGTCGTTTGAATAGGCCATATTTGACAGCGGTCAAACTCATACTAGAAGACATATCTGTCAAGAAAAAGAGACCTTATGTCATAGCATTAACATGATTTTGACAGCTGTCAAATATGGGCTATTCAAATGACCGTACTGTAGGTGCAAGTTTATCTAAACAAAATTCAAAGGTCATCACATCACATTAGCCTATAATCCACTGCTGGACATAGGCCTCCCTCAAAGTAAGTACGCCACAAGGCACGATTTCCCGATTCAAAGGTATGACTGGATGAAATACTGACATAGACATGGTTTGTGGTTAATACTCACAGCCTCACTAGTATCCAACTATCGTTACTAAATTCAGACACATAACTCAAGACGGAATTGAAACTTTATCCTACATTCGTGGCACACCCACGGCGTGACCGTGTAAGTTGTAAAACTTAAGCTTGGCGAGTAAACTTAAGCCTGGCAAGTAAACTTGGCTGTCTTGGCTTACCAACAGTAAGTAGCGACATATTTCACACGGGCTCAGCTACCTGGCCTAGAACAATCAAACAGCCACTTAAGGAACGTGTGCAAACAAATATTCCTACACATTAGCTACGTATTACAACCCTAATTTGTTCGACATCCATTACTGTTTGAGACAACATTGGTGACTTTCAAACTTTCATTCTATTCCTTCGACGTTATGAGATATCCTTTGCCACTTACGTTTGACGGGTGGATCAGTGGTGTAGTTTTCGAGCAGCAATGAATGCTCAAGATTCAGTAGGAAAAATCCCCTGAGGGTATTTCAAAAACCCAGCAACGTGTCTAGTTAGTGTTTCAAATTTAATTTTATCTACTGCATTGTAATATCCGACGCCGTTTAGTGTAGGTACATGAGTATATCAGTGGTGTATTTTTTGTGCAGCAATGAGTAGGTACCTTCGAAAAGAATATTCCAGAATGAAATCTCAGGAGGATATTTCAGAAACCCAGCAGTGTTCCCAAAAGTAGCTCCATCGTGTATGGCGGAACATTGTAGTCAAGTTAGCGCCGCGTTTTAAGCTTAACTAAATACGTAGTTCGGCTTAAGTAAGATAAGTTTGAGCTGGTATGTGAGCAAATAGTGGTCGGCTTTATTGCCGGGCTACAGGTGTTACTCATGTGCGGAGTAATTGTTTTAGATATCTTGTGATGAGTTATCTGGGATAGGCCTAGTGGAGGAGGATGATTTACATTTATCTTAATATACGAGCCAATACTTCAAGAGCCTTGAAAAATATATTTAGGAAGTACGAATTCCTTTTACATAGCTAATGCAATAAAATGAAAATGGTTTCGAAGAATATTTCTTGTAGGTACTTGCTTGTGGTGGTGGCCCATGTTCAGCAGTGGACTTTATTGTGGCCCGGCTGTTATAGTAGTAGTAGTAGGTACTTGCTTACAGTCTTTTATCCAGATCTGTTACCTATGTATTCTCCAGTTCAAGTACCTGTCGTATCTAAGTGCTTTATTGGCTGTAGATAGGTATTGATTTTAAAACGAAATGTCCTTAAAAACTTTGCTCGGAGGTTGAAAGACTTTAAATCATATTGCGTGGGAGGAATAGGACCTCAAGGGAACGAAGGTTGGAACGACAGTGTACGCCGAATTTCAGGTCTAATAAAAGTCGTCAGTTTCGTCACATTGTACCCCGCAAAGGTTTTAATTTACAAAGTTACTGCGACCACGTCGATTCCCAATAAGTAAACACAGCGGGCAAAGTCGGAGTATTTAACTTAATTTTTGAGCTTCCAACGCTTAATTGGCAGAGGCGCAGCGGAATGTCGTCACAAAAGAAGCACTTTAAATGAATGAAGCACTCGCTGGCTCAAAATAAACTTATCTCCGACGGGCAAGGGTTAAAATCATTAAAAGGTAGAGTAATGTCAGGTAGCGGTGGGGTAGATGCGATGCGGCTGATTCAATCATGCGCCACTGTTCGCTAATAATGTTATTTATTTATTGAGTTTTTGAACGCACCAGGATGCTCGTAGGTTACTCAGCTTCTCCACCCCGCTTCCCCTTTCTCTTTGTCTACAGACTAAACGCACTTAACGCTCTTAAGAATGTTTGCACCTTTCGTTTGTATCTTGTCCCTGCCTATAGAACTTTTGGATAAATACTTTTTGTTTTTAGTTAGTCGGCTAGTTAAGTGGTGGAAAGTAGAACCAATTAGAACCATAGAATGGGAAATTGACATAAATCATATCTGTTACGAAAAAATAGCTGATAAAAGACTCTTCCTCACAAAAAGACTACTCTAATTGATGACTATCTACTTAAATAAGATTTACCTATAGTTATGGAGTCGCATTTCCCAGGATAGGTAGACGTAGGAGGCACTTATGTCTTGGAATGTCTTCTTAGGAACTAGTCACTAAGATAAACTGAGCAGGAGCCTACTGATACGGCCAGGTTGACATGCTTTGTGTACCTAGAGAGCTGAAGGCCCAAGAGAATTATCTCTATCTACAGGGCGAGTGTGCGAAGGATCAAATCTATGGTTTGTCACAAGCCCCGACAATATTATTCTCAAAGAATATAGGCCTAAAACTTACGGTCGGATATTAACCAGTTGAAATGGGGCGAAGATTAGTCGAAAACTACCTCCTTGTGGGTCACCTCGGGTAAAGGCTAGCTTCATGCAAATTTGTCATATTAACGAATTGTTCAATTTCAATGTTACTTGAGAAAAATAAACCATGGTTTCAGTTCAGGGATGTACACCTTTGCAGATACACCATGTATGAACTCAAGGACACGGAGGTATGGGATATAGACACAAACCCCTCGAAACCTGTTTGTACTGTGCAAACTATGAAACTGTCTTCGGATAGGTATCTAGTCACAAAAAAGAGATTTTACAGAAGGTTCTCTCGACCTATTCAGGGTTTTTGCGATTGTCATTTGTTACACAGTAAAATCTGATACAAAAACGACATATGATTCTGAGCCAATTTTAATCCAAGAAATATGACGATCGCGGCTACCAACTTCTTTGTTACCTTGACTTCCTCTGAGATTCCGTTTATTGATCAAAAACCGTCATAATATGATGAATTCCAGTCTTATTTCCAGTAAGTACAAAATTTTGTTTCATATTTACACAGGTGAATTTCAAGTAACAGATTTTTATAAAAATCATGAATTAAGCATTTTAAATGGTTTTTCCAAGCGGCTCGATGGTCTAGTGGTATGATACTCGCTTTGGGTGTGAGTGGTCCCGGGTTCAAATCCCGGTCGTGCCCTTCTTTTGTAAAATTAACTACCTGCTTACCTCGGAGCACAATGGCTGGTAGAGATCTCTTTATAAAGGCAAGCTCACCGCTGTAACCATTTTTATTCAGTGCATTGCGTGAAGTTTAGGAGGTTGGAAAACTGAGAGGAAGGAATGACACTAGCAGCCGAAAGAGATCCTGCTAAGGCGCAAACTCCACCAAAAAGACGAAGGGCATAGGACGTAAGAATGACAGTTGACAGACAAGTGATCGTCAAATATTCTTCTTAGTTTTTGACGCTAGCTGTCATAGATGCGACGCTTTGGCGACGCTTGTGTGTGCCTTTGTCAATACTTTTTCGTACATTTTGTATGGAAACGTCGCGATGGCAAACGTCAAGCGTCATGCCCTACGTCCTATGTCCTCTCCATGTCCTCTCTGTGGAGTTTGGAGCTAAGGCTACTTATTATTGTCTTTTGCTTGCACAATGATTGATGCATTTTTAAATTATCCGAAGTTTCCTACCTGTAGGCACGGATGTATCTGATTCTGAGCTGACCCGGACTTGATCCGTAACCACCACTAGACCATCGATTGCTTACTTACTTGACTTATATATGCAGTAGTAAGATGTTTGTAAATGATTTAACTAAAACAGATAGTAATAAAAGAAGGGCCCGACCGGGATTTGAACCCGGGACCACTCACACCCAAAGCGAGTATCATACCACTAGACCATCGAGCCGCTTAGTTAACTTGTAAGAAGTATTGACATGATTTAACTACGTTTAATTTCAGTAAAGAAAAACACTTGTGTCAATACAAATTTAGGCAGAATAAGAAATGTAATTGCAATTGCTGAATTTAATCTTATTTTCCAAGCGGCTCGATGGTCTAGTGGTATGATACTCGCTTTGGGTGTGAGTGGTCCCGGGTTCAAATCCCGGTCGTGCCCTCCTTTTGTAGAAAAAGTCCGTGAGGACCAGTAGGTATTATGATCAATGATCATCATAAGAAATAAAGTTGCTTAATGTAAAACTTCTTTACCAATTGAATCGAATCATCTTATCTTGGCATTTTAATAGAATTAAGATAAAATCACATCTTAGATTTGTCAAATAAATTTGACGTCACATTAATTTAGGTTGGCATTGTGCGTTGACATGTAAAATATTTTGAAAGTAAGTTCAAATAGGTAATTTCGATTGATGTCATTATTAATTTGCTTGCTACATAGGCAAAATTACGTGATCTTCATTGCGGCACGACACCGAAGAACGCCAAAGCTAGCTCGCGCTGCTACGATCGTCACGCTTCCGCTGTCACCGTAGGCCTGCCAAGCGTGGTGAGTATGGCAAATACCCCCCATAGGGGGAGACCCATGTCCAGCAGTGGACTGATGTGGCTGTTATAGTAAGTAGTAGTATGATACTAGCTTTGGGTGCGAATGGTCTCGGGTTCAAATCCTGTTTGAGGCCTTCTTTTTGTGGGATAGTAGTTTATTACAATGATTTTCACACAGATTTTGTGCCCTTTTTCAAGATTATTAATTTTCCAATGTACAACCAAATCTTATTTTCTTTAGACAACATCCATAAGGAAACTCCAACTGTATTGAATCAAATGTCTCAGAATTAACATAATAAATCTCGTCGGTCCATCAATCAGAGGCAGATGAATTCTTTCAAAAGGCTTCTAAGCCCTCACTTTCATGGCCTTACGCGAAATACCCCGCACTCATAATTATGCTTGGAAAGTGCGTTAATTTTCCCTTTCGCAAGTAGCCAGGCTCATTTAAATAAAAAAGTCATCCGAAATAACGTACTTATCTTGGCTTTTTAAATGAGTGATGGACGTCTAAGGGTTCAAACTCACCTGTGTGTATTGAGCAGTGATAGTATTATCAATTGTTTAAATATGACATCAAAGATTTATTATGCATGTTGTCAGTGATGTCATATTTCATAGAAATCGAAAATACTGCTATGGAATATTTTCCGCAGGTTTATATCACTCATGCATGTTTCTCTTAAACTTTACTGATTTTAAAAACAGGGTAAACGGGTTCCAAGATTTGTACAGGAATCAATAATGACTACTTTGCTGTTTTGCCGGTAGTACTTATTGTGGATCTACACAAAAAAAATCTGCCATAGACTCTGCCATTGACTAAAAAACGTGCGTGACATAATTATAATCGAACCAGGCAGGGTTGATGATGGGTATAGCCAGGCAATAATCAGTACCTAAGGGAGTACCATAGGTACTGTCGCGGCCGACCTCTTTATACGCACTGGCAGTAGTATTGCGCACTGGTAGTATTAGCACAGTATAAGCTAGGCTCTAATCTTCACGGTACCAACCACTGCCAGATCAATCGGTCTCACTGAAAAGCTCAGCAATCAAATCATAAATTGAATACCTATACCTAGTATAAAACATTCCATTTAGGTACAGACAAAGAACTGTGTAGATAAATCAATAATTACGAAAATCTGTTTATTCAATTGTAACAGAACTAAAGAGAAATATTAAAATCTATATTTTGAATATTTTGTACAAGCGGCTCGATGGTCTAGTGGTATGATACTCGCTTTGGGTGTGAGTGGTCCCGGGTTCAAATCCCGGTCGGGCCCTTCTTTTTGCGCTAAGTTTAGCACCAATAATATGAGTTTCATACTGAATTTAATAAGTAAAATACCTACAAATTATAACGAAGTTAGGTCATCCATAATTTCACTGTAATTTTGTCTTTATGTAGCTTTTCAAAATAACAAAGTTGAACTAGAACAATATAAGTAGAGCTAGCACAGATCCGTAAACAGAGAGTCACTGAAATACAAATAGACCATTTCCATTTGCGCGAACCGCTCGGAAATTCCCATTTAGAATGGTGGCAGCCGTTCATTTATGTAGTTTTAATTCCGCCATTCCTTAGCTCGGTCCGGGATCTTATTTCATTAGCCGCCGCGAGGCGAGCGCCAGCCATTTAGCTCGCAAGCTACAGAGCCTGAAGCCGAGGGTACAGTATGAGCGGTAGCGTGGCGATTATAGGAGCGCGAGCGTGATTTGGCTCGGTGAAGAAGTTTATTTCCTTAAAAGCTGGGAAGCGAACGCCGTCCATTTAGCTCTCACGCTACAGAGCCTGAAGCCGAGTCTACAGTATGAGCGGTAGCGTGGCATCATAGGAGCGCAAGTGACTTGGCTTGTCCAGGATCTTGCTGCTTAAGCTTGGTCATTTCGTTCGTAAGCTACAGAGTCTGAAGCCACGGCTACAGTATAAGCGGTAGCGTGGCGATCGTAGAAGCGCGAGTGATTTTCGGCTAGTCCAGGAATATACTGCTTTAGCTGCTACGAGGTGAGTGCAAGCCTTTTATCTCTCACTCAAGCCACAGAGCCTGAAGCCAAGGTTACAGTAGCAAGGCGATCTTTAGCAGCTAGAAGCTCAAGCTAGAGAGCCTGTAGCGAAGGTTGGATATGGTGTCAGCGAAACCGCGGTGATCACAGAAGCGCGAGCGGATTTTTGCCCAGTACGCGATCCTACTTCTTATAATCAATAAGATGTCAATTTTATGCGACAAGTCTGGGATTGTGATTTTATCTTAATTAGCTAGATGATTCGATTCAATTAGTAAAGAGGTTTTTTAGGAAACGTAACAAAAGAAGGGCCCGACCGGGATTTGAACCCGGGACCACTCACACCCAAAGCGAGTATCATACCACTAGACCATCGAGCCGCTTGGAAAATAAGATTAAATTCAGCAATTGCAATTACATTTCTTGTTCTGCCGAAATTTATATTGAAACAAGTGTCTTTCTTTACTGACATTAAACGAAGTTCAATCATGTTATTACTTCTTGCAAGTTAAGTAAGCGGCTCGATGGTCTAGTGGTATGATACTCGCTTTGGGTGTGAGTGGTCCCGGGTTCAAATCCCGGTCGGGCCCTTCTTTTGTTTTAGTTAAATCTATACATATAATAAAACAGAAACGAAACCAATTCTGTACATGGGATGGTTTTAAAAAAGGATTTTTACTTCCAATTGTGCTCAGGATACAGATCTTAGAACAACAGCTAAAAAAATTTTTGTCTGTTTGTCTGTCTGTTTGTCTGTCTGTTTGTTTGTCCATCTTTCACGGAAAAACTACTGGACGGATTTTAACCAAATTTTGTATTGTAATACCTTATTACTCGGGTCAACATCTAGGATACATTTTACCACTCGAGGGTCAGGAGTACCAGATGTAGACCACCAGAAGCACCATTAGGAGCCCGGCTAAACTATAGGAGATAGAGATATGACTCCAAAGCACAAGTTGTTCAGCTTGGCAGGACGCTTCTGCTGGCGAATAGACATCGAATGTTTGGAGTACCGGATGTAGACCACCAGGTAGGTACACCAACAGGAGCCCAGGTAAACTATAGGAGATACAGATATGACTCCAAAACAAAAGTTGTTCAGCTTGATGGGACGCTTCTGTTGGCAAATAGACATCGAAGGTTTGGAGTACCTGATGTAGACCACAAGGTGCACCAACAGCAGCCCAGGTAAACTATAGGAGATACAGATATGACTCCAAAGCAAAAGCTGTTCAGCTTGATTGGACGCTTTTGCTGGCGAAAACACATCGAAGGTTTGAGGTACCTGATGTAGACCATCAGGTGCACCAACCGGAGCCCAGGTAAACTACAGCAGATACAGGATATGACTCCACAGCAAAAGTTGTTCAGCTTGATGAGACGCTTCTGCTGGCGAACAGACATCGAAGGTTTGGAGTACCTGCTGTAGACCACCAGGTGCACCACCAGCTCTACAGGTAAACTATAGGAGATATAGACATGACTACAAAGTAAAAGTTGTTCAGCTTGATGGGACGCTTCAGCTGGCAAAAAGACATCGAAGGTTTGGAGCACCTGACCAAGAGTAAACCACCAGGTGCCCCAACCGGAATACAGGTAAACTTTAGGAGATACAGAAGTGACTCCAAAGCAAAAGTTGTTTGGCTTGATGGGACGCTTTTGCTGGCGAA